CTTTTCAACGGCCCTGCTTAAACCAACCAATCATGCTAATACATCGATCTTAAACCCTTCAATTTAATCAAATATTTTGGTGTTTCCTTTTTAATTGTCGAAATGGACTCGAGCAGGCGAGCAGTGGAATCGTACTGGAGATAGTGGATGATCGACGGGGCAACCTCGGATGAGGACAAAGTAACGCCCGTTTATAAGTTAGAAGAGATCTGCGAGCTCTTGAGATCATCGCATTTTAGTATTGTTAAAGAGGTCCCCGGGTTATGTTGAAACGACTCGATCATAAAAGCCCCATCGTTAAACAAAAGGTCATTTCATTTAATTCGCTTCCAATTTGGTTTCAGTTCGCTTATATCTAGTCAATTCTAATCAATTTTTTTGTTGGAAAAGTAAACGAAAAAGTGAAAATTTTTAACTTTAGTCAAGTAGTTGAATAATTAATGGTAATGAAATTTAACTGAGGTTTTAAGTAATTAGATATCCGTATCGAAATACTACTTGTTTTTGTATATAAAAGCAACTAAAAACAGAAGGCAAGTAACAAAAATAACAGTGAGAGAACCCTGTATTCTTCAAAGCAAAGAAGTTTTGGTATGTAAATGTTCTGAGTAGTTGAATGTTTAACGTGTGGGCAAACTGTATCCTGTAATTATGAATTATCAAAACATGTTCATACTTGGTAGTGGGATTTTTTTCAGGCTCTGAGGCTGATAAAATATGCAGTGGGAAAGTTTGGTGTGGAGTTGAGGAGAGAGATGCAGAGGAACTCAGTGGCCATGCGTCAGTTATTTCATTACAATGGGCAGCCGGATCCTTTGAAGAGGGATGCACTCAATAAGGCTGTGCGGACACAGCTAATGAGGCTATTTCTGCTATATTTGCAGAGGGCAATAGTAATAGTAAGCCTTCGCCTGCAGATGACCTTAACAAACGAATACAAGGATTTGGGAACACAAACTTCGAAATGCCTTCAGATGATAAGAAATTATTTCTAAGTGAGATAGTTGGTATTGGAAGTGCATCTATCAAAGTTTCACTGAGGGTCGTTCGCTTGGAAAGAATGATAATGGAAACTACAAGAGTCCTATACTTCGAAGGTCATTGACTACAGAAATTTACTATTCTGATCAGTATGAACCAGTTGAATTGTGCAATGACCGTCAAGTGGTTTCCAAGAATACTGCTAGTGGACCTTGGGGCTAGGATTCAAGAGTACTAAAGACAGGAACACCAAATGGGGAATCCAGCTCGAATTATTCAGAGACTAAAACTCATGAAGACAGATTGTTGGAAACCATAGTGACATCTGGTGGTGTACGTCTACAAGCTCCTCGAGATGCCATTCAGGCTTTCCTTGTGGAGGCTGCAAAGCTTGATGCATTGGCTTTGAGTCATGCCCTTGAAACTAAGCTTCTATCTCCAATGCGGCAGGTAACTCTTTGCTCCTATGTATTGAATCATGAGATGACAAGGCCATCTGGAGGTGGTGCCGGGTGGCAGGTACTTAGCTCATATCCTGGCTATCTACACAAACCACTATCACCTTATCCACTTCATCCTTCATGCAGGTACACTGTTCTCATTACGTGATCATGTTTCATATTGCTGATAATTGCATATTGATTTCTTTCCAAAACAATGAATGGAGTATTTGTGTTTTCAGTTATCTTTTAACGTTAACCAGAATTATTGACAGTCAGGTTTGCATGAAAGCTGTGTGTGTGCTTGAGTCCATTTTGAGGAAAAAGGAAGATGAGCATTTTCTAACTGTGGCTTCTTATTTTACCCGAGAACAAAGATGTTGTTTTGAGATGTTCTGAGTCTCCCCAATCTTCTCTCAGACAAAAGGCTAACAAGGTAAATATCTTAGTCTACCCTTCATTTACTTTCAATCAGAAAGATAAAAAGATTATCTTTTTTACAGTTTAAGATCCAGCCCACAGCACTGTTTTTGGTGGCATGCTTGTGCCTTGTAGGGTTTTACTTTTTTCCCTTTGTTTTACTTAGCAACTGCACTACTTTATAAACTGATGTAATAGGGGATAATGGAAAATTCAACTAACTCATGCTTGAGAACTTAGGATACGGAAATTTTCATTTAAAAATTCTTTCTAAATGTCAATTGTATTTTGGTTTCATGATAAAGTTTAGAAAGACAGATTGAACTTTCCCTCCTGTTTGAGTTCATTAAGATCTTGCATTTACTGATAGCATATTTATGCAAATCTAAGTTGTTGTAGTGTATTAATTTCTTCTTCTAAATAAAAAAAAATCGATGAAATTTTGGCTATATATTACATTAAGTTTTGGATGCTACCTCATTTTTTCCCTTAAACATCAGCCCAAGTGTAAATAGACCCTCCAGATTGATTTGTTTCTGGTGTTGTTTTTATTATTATTTGAGGACAGCTATATCTTTACTTTTTTACCAAGCCTATAAATTAAGATTTTAGGGTTGGTTCTTGACAGATGTCACATTATGTTTCCGTTCCGTTGTTTTGATTACTCTTCCGCGTAAATGACTACATTCATGATCTTTGTATGATCATTGTGTTTAATCTTTATTTCTTTCAATCTTATGGTCCTTAATGGTATATGACTTTGAATAGTTATTATGTACTCTGAATGCTAATTTAGGGCTAGTAAGGGTATTATTTTCTGAGTTAATGAAGTAGATGCCACAGTTGACACATATATGATCTTGGTGAACAGGTGTTGATCCTTTTGAATGGGGAGCAAATAGGTGGTTTGACAAGTTATTCAGAAAAGTCTTTGAAGGCTGAGACCTCACTTGTTCAAATGCCTGACCTGATAGACACCGGTGATCTAGATGATTACATTGGACTAGATAGTTCAACAAAACCAACATGATCAAAATGCTGTAAATCTGACAACAACCTTGCATGTTAATGACTTATTTGGAGATGGTCTGGATGCTGGCATTAGCACCAGGGACCAGAAAATCGATGATGATCCCTTTGCAGATGTCTCATTTCACACTGATGTGGTTAGAGAAAATGTGGATGATCTTTTCTCTGGGATAACTATAGATGACAAGTCAGTTGTCAATGGTAATTATATGACTGCAAAAAAAAAAAAATCTGAACTAATTGATATCTTTGGGATCAATTCTGAAGCTCCATTTGAGCCAGAGAATAAAAAAAATGCTGTTAATGATATAATGGCTGGCTTGTCGATGAATGAGAATCCATCTAATTTGAAGCGGAAAGGAATCTCTTCTGAAGCACACCCTAAGAATATATTTGCCGATATCAACTCTCATTCTAGCCATCTAGCTTCTAATGATTCTTTTAGTGGTAACCTTAGTTCTCAAGCCACTGGGATGAATGCAAATCTGGTGTTTCCTTTAGGGACCATGTCATATGCCATTCCTCCTGGAATAATGTTGAGCCCAGCCTTTTCTTCTCACCCTATGAATTATGGTGCTATGGGGATTTTCTTTGCTCAGCAGCAATTGCGTGCAACAATGTCTAACTTACAACACTTTGGTAATCTTAATGGATAAAATGTTGGCATCAATCATGTTTCCAATGGATCTAATGGAGGATCACCTGTGTCTGATATATTCCATTCAAATTTTCCAACCCAAACGCCTAGTTCAATAATGAACTGTTCAGGACACAGGAGCATTTGATTTTATTTCAGTAAGTTTAAGTTTTCGCATATGCTATTTAAGGTAGTCTTATACGAATTTCGTCTTCACATAACCAGTTATATTCTTGAAGTAATTGTTCCATGATGTTTTAGGTCATCTGCCGGAATGTCTTTTATTAGATATGCCAGTTCAATCGGATGGTGCCTCCTTGGCTGCTGGAAAGTGAGAGAAGCAAAATTTTAGAACCTTTAGCTTCCAGTCAACCCTATCTCCGTTTTCAATTACTTCTTTTGTCTTGTGACTCATGTTACATGTTATTTTATGTTTGATATCAAGGTTTACCCACCCTGCTGGTGGTCAAGCCTAATTAACTTAGCCAGGTACTTAGGTGTTAAAAACTTCTTCATGCTAACTCTATCCGCTAGTTAGGCAGAGGATTTTTGTTTGTGCTGGATGCTAGATGCAGAGACAAGTAATAAATTGCTATTGAGCTTGTGAAATCTCACATAAAAAATGCACTATATTTTTAGTTTCCATTGTTGTGCAGTTAGCTGTTTTAGTTTCCAAGCATTCTTCTTTTTTTTTTTTTTAATTTCTTTCTATTTTTGTAATGGATTTTCCAAGAGAAGTAATTTTGGTTTTTATGTTCTTTACCTTTTGCTTTCCATATGAAAGTAAAAATACATATTTTATTATCAATGACAATTAAAAGTTTTAAATCTTAATTTCTTCAGAAATCTTTTTGGCTTTCTATATTCAATTGTATCTTATTATTTATTTGCTTCTAAAAACATATGGCAATTATCATTATAGAAGGTAAAAACCACAGTGCTAAATAAAAGAATAAATTCCTATCTCCATTTTCAAGAATCGCAATCATTAATTTTCTTAAATTAACTGGAAAAAGAATATGAATATGGAAGGCCAGACCTATACATCCAAAGTTACATTTTACTTATTATCATATCTACGTAACAATTTGTATGTACAAATTCCAAGCTCAAAGAAATGTCAGTAGGAAAAATTCAACGCTTTGTCCAAGTTGGTTCAAGCAATTCTGGAATGAAGTTAAGATTAACTTCTGTTTGATTTCCTGAAAAAGGTATATTTAATTTTTAGTAGGCAGGGCCTGCAGTAGCATGAAAGGGTTCATGATGTTTTAGAGGTTGGGTCTTCAAGATTGCTGGACGAAGTAACTTCCATATTCTTGGTTCTTTTTAGTTGTTTTGCAACATCCAAACGGTCAGAACAATATGGTGATGGAATCTAGTGGAGCAGTAAATTCAAGTAGGATTAGCATAAGTTAAGGTAAAAGGAATACGAATTAAGAGAAGAAGAAACAATAAAATGTCTCACCAAATATGGTATGTACTTGTTGATAGCTGCTAACATTGCCTCATGGCCTACTGCAGATACCTGGCAAGAACGACAGGGAAACTAAGACAAGAATCCGAAATACACACAAGCAGCAGGCTGCATGTGCACTCTCGTGTATGCAGCATTGGTGATAGAGAGGATCAAACGGCTTACAGGAAGGAGCATTAGAATTGTAACGGGGATAAGTTTAGCAATGTCATTCAATGTTCTTTTTAACTTCCTTTTTTCTCTTGCTGTGACCTTCTGACTACTCAATTGCTTTAAGAGTAGCTCCACGGAAACCGTGATGTCAATGAATAGTAACTGAGTTCCCAACCATACATCCTGCAAAATTTTAATCGGGTACTATTAGTGATCAAGAAGACGATCTAGTATGATTCTGTTCAGTGACAAGAAGCAGGAGCATTGGCCTTACAGAACTTGAAGACATCAATTTCATGCTGCATTTTCTAATTAAACTCCCTTTCAGGGAATTTGACTTGGGGATCCCAGTTCCCTCCACAAAGGTTACCGTACCTGTGCTGGCTGAACTGGAGGCCTGCGGCTATCGACAGCAAAAATTTAAAATAATGGTAACAGTTATCCAAATATATATATGTGCTTAAGCTGTCGAGGTTTCGTATATGATTTTCACAATCTTTGAAAGCTACCTGTCAAAATAATGATGAAATAATGTGATTTGCTCAGTGGCCTTTGCCTTCTTGTTAGATAATGACCTTGGAAATGGTTATATAATAAAAGGCATAAATGCAAGTCAGGCTTGTAAATGGGAAAACTGTCAAAATAAGAGATCTTGACAGTTGACACGAGGCATCAGTCATGTGAATGACTTTTATGTCTCTTAGGCTAAATTCCATAGCATTTTAAAATGTTAGTGTGTTAGGGATCGAAACAATTAGGTATGACATTTTTATTGACATTTTTATAATAAGTTTTTTCATTTGATCAGTTTAGGTAACATGATGGATTTGTGCATGGTGATTCATACTATTAGGCAAGCAATTTTTGTAATAGTTAAATAAACTTTTATATTTTTGAAGCCTATAAATTAATAAAATGAAGCTCATAATCTAATGAGCCAATTTACTTCAAGTGACAGATTAGTTTCTTCTGTTTTTTTTTCTTTGTTTTTCCTCTGCTCTAAATCCTTCAATTGGTATCAAAGCATTTTTTAAGGTCTTAAAAGACCTGTGAGCTTCAAAAATTAAGTGAAAAGCCATCAAACACTCACCAGCCAGATTTTGTCAACCTTAAATGGCCTCAAGCAATTGCTTCTTACTTTCACCTCTTATTTTTTCTGGTGAGAACTACCAGATATGGCTATTAAAATGAAGACCTATTTGAGTGCTTTTGATTTGTGGGAAGTGGTGGAAAATAAGAAGGAACCACCACAACTTCCTACAAATCTAACAGTAACTCAAATGAAAAATTATAGTGAAGAAAAAGCAAAGAGGTACAAGGCTAAAAGCTGTATTGAGTCTTCAATTTCTAATGACATATTCATCAGAATCATGACTTGTGAAATCGCAAAACAAGCTTGGGATGTACTCAAGGAAGAGTTTCAAGGCAGTGACAAGACAAGACAAATGCAAGTGTTGAATTTTAGAAGAGAGTTTGTAGTTTTAAAGATGAAAGAGTCTGAAATTTTAAAGGAGTACAATGACAAATTCATGAAGATAATAAACAAGATTAGATTACTTGGTGAGGAGCTATCAGACAAAAGAATTGTAGATAAGGTTCTTGTCAGCTTACCAGAGAGGTTTGAGTAAAAAATCTCGTACCTTGAAGATTCCAAAGACCTAACCAAGATAACTCCAGCAGAATTGTTCAATGCTTTACAAGCTCAAGAGCAAAAAAGGGCTATCAAACAAGATGATTCAACAGAAAGTGCTTTTACAGCCAAAGAGAAAAGTAAGATACAAACAGAAAGTAAAGGCAGAAAATAAAGAGATCGAAGAAACAAAGGTTCTAGAAATAATTAAAAGAAAAAAAATTCCCACTTTGCTCTCACTGTAAAAAACCCACTCACTTAGAGAAATATTATTGGTACAGACCTGACATACAATGTAGGTACTGTAAGCAGCTTGGTCACATAAAAAAGGTATGTAAAAATAAAAAACAGCAGCAGCTAAATCAACAAGCCAGAGTTGCTGACAATCAACAATAGCTAGAAGAGCAAGTTTTTGTTACAACTTGCTATGGAACCAGAACCTCCTCAAGTGCATAGCTCATTGATAGCGACTGCACACACTATATGGCATCTGATATCAACATGTTCAAAGAACTAGATAAAACCTATACCTCTAAAGTCAGAATAGGTAATGGTGATTTCATAGAAGTCAAATAAAAGTGAGTAGTGGCAGTTGAGACACCAACAGGTATCAAACTCATTTTAGATGTATTATTTGTACCTAAAATAGATCAAAACCTGTTAAGTGTAGGACAGTTGCTAGAAAATAACTACTCTTTAGTTTTCAAAGATAAGGCATGCATAATTCATGATCCCACTGGCCATGAACTCTTTATTGTTAATATGAGAGAAAAATGTTTTTCCTTAAATTGGCATGAAGCAAACTCCTCTGCATATGCTAGTTCACATGATGAATCTTCTTTATGGCATAAAAGGATGGGACATTCCAACTACAATGCATTGAATTTCATGCATAAAAATGATCTTGTATTAAACATGCCTACTGTTAAAGTCAGTGTTGGAGTGTGTGAAATCTGTCAGCTAGAAAAACAAAATAAGTTACCATTTACAATTAACAAAGCATAGAGGGCAACTGAAAAACTACAACTTGTTCATACTGATGTTTGTGGTCCTATGAGAACCTTGTCCTTGAATGGCAGTAGATATTTCATTACTTTTATAGATGATTTTACAAGAATATGTTGGATTTACTTAATGAAACAAAAGTCTAAAGTTGCAAATGTATTTTGGAAGTTCAAAGCTTAGATTGAGAATCAAAGTGGCTGCAAAATCAAGATCATAAGGTCAGACAATGATACTGAATACACATTTGATAGATTTAATGAGTTTTGTGAAGTTGCAAGAATTGAACATCAACTGATAGCAACTTACACTCTATAACAAAATAGAGTCAGTGAAAAGAAGAATAGAACAATCATGGAGATGACAAGATGTATGCTGTTTGAGAAGAATCTTCCTAAGAAATTTTGGGCAGAGGCAGTCAATACCTCTATCTACTTGCTCAATAGGCTGCCCACAAAAGCTTTGAAGGGAAAAACTCCTTTCAAAGCCTGGTATGGAAGCAAACCATCAATGCACCACCTTAGAGTTTTTGACAGCATCTGTTATGTGTTCGTTCCTGATATCAAAAGGGACAAGCTTGATCAAAAAGTAAAAATATGTATTTTTTTGGGCTATAGCAACATCACCAAAGGCTATAGGACTTACAATCCACTTACAGGCAAGATAATTGTAAGTAGAAATGTGAGATTTAATGAGCAAGTTGCCTAGAATTGGGAAAAGCCAAAGGAAGAATCAGTCAAGCAAACTACTAGAGACATGATAAGCTTTCAAGATCAAGAAAATTATATGTTTGAAAATAAAATCATTAATCATGAACCAGTGAGAGAAATCAGACCACTCACAGATATTTATCAAAGAACAAATGTTGCCATTCTTGATCCTGCAAGCTTTGAAGAAGCTGTCAAATTTTCAGAGTGGAGGAATACCGTGAAAGAGGAGATTCATATAATTGAGAAAAATCAAACATGGATGCTAGTTGACAGACCCAGCAATAAAAACATCTTTGGTGTTAAATGGATTTTCATAACAAAGTTGAATGCTAATGGTTCCATCAACAAACTTAAAGCTAGATTGGTAGCTAAAGGCTACTCCCAACAGCTTGGTATTGATTTTTCAGAGACATTTGCTCCAGTTGCAAGGTTGGACACCATAAGGTTGCTATTAGCCTTAGCAACTCAGCAAAGTTGGAAAATATACCAACTTGATGTCAAATCTGCCTTCTTGAATGGTTATCTTGAGGAGAAGATTTACATTGAACAACCTGATGGTTTTGTTGCCAAGGGACATGAAGGCAAAGTCTATCTACTCAAAAAGGCTTTGTATAGATTAAAACAAGCTCCAAGAGCATGAAATTTCAGAATTAATGATCATTTATTGAAGTTAGGATTCAAAAAAAGTCTCAGTGAAGCAACATTGTATATTAAAGTTTTTAACAGTAATGACCAGTTGATTGTTTCTTTGTATGTTGATGATCTTTTGGTGACAGGTAACAAATCAGCTCTTGTGGAGGATTTTAAGCTCCAAATGTAGAAAGTTTTTGAGATGACAGATATGGAAGAAATGTCTTATTTTTTTGGAATAGAGATTCATCAAGACCAACAAAGAATCTTCATTTGTCAAAAAAAATATGCAAATGAAATCCTAAATAAGTTTAGGATGAAAAATTGCAAACCAGTCAACACTCTTTTGGCTCAAAATGAGAAACTTACTAAGGAAGATGGAGCTAACAAAGTTGATGGTTCTATTTATAAAAGCTTGGTTGGTTGCTTATTGTATTTGATAGCAACAAGGCCAGACATCATGTATACTGCAAATTTACTCTCTAGGTTCATGCAAAATCCTAGTGAGTTACATTTTAAGGCTGCAAAAAGAGTGTTGAGATATGTCAAAGGAACCAATGAACTTGGGATTTGGTTCAAGAAGAATGAAAGTTCAAGATTGGTTGGATTCACAGACAGTGACTAGGCTGGCTCTCATGAAGACATGAAAAACACTTCAGGCTATGTGTTTTTTATTGGATTAAATGTGTTCAGCTGAAATTTAAAGAAACAAGGAACTGTGGCTCAATCAACAACAGAAGCAGAGTATATAGCTGCTACAGCTGCTGTTAATCAAGCAATTTGGCTAAGGAAAATTATGATGGATTTGAGTCAAAAGCAAGATGATCCAACATAAATTTTTTGTGATAATCAGTCAACAGTTGCAATGGTCAAGAACCCTATGTTTCATGGAAGAACTAAGCATATTAAGATTAAGTATCACTTTATTAGAGAAGTTGAAGTTGAGAGTGAAGTGAAACTAGTGCATTGCAAGTCAGAAGATCAAATTACAGATATTCTGACCAAGGCTTTACCAAAGGCAAGGTTTGAAACATTAAGGAAAAGTCTTGGTGTTTCCAGTAGAAATGCCAATGAGGAGTGTTAGTATGTTAGTGGTTGAAGCAACTAGGTATGGCATTTCTACTGGCACTTTTGTAACAGGTTCTGTCATCTGATCAATTTAGGTAACATAATGGATCTGTGCATGGTGATCCATACTGTTAGGCAAACAACTTTTGTAGTAGTTAAATAACTTTTGTATTTTTGAAGCCTGTAAATTAATGAAATGAAGCTCATGATCTAATGAGCCAATTTACTTCAAGTGACAGATTAATTTCTTCTTTTTTTTTTTTTCTTTGTTCTTTCTCTGCTCTAAATCCTTCATAAACTCTTTTTCACGGTACATTTATCATCATCTTGTATCTATCTCATTCTGCCACCTTTGAACTGAACTTAGTTGCTCATCTTATCTGGTACTTTCATGATTGTTCATATAATTATGTTTGATTTCCCCTAATGCTATTGCAGCATATATGCTTTCTAGGAAAGACCATCTCTTTCTATGCTTTCTAGGTTAATATAAATTGTGGTTTCAGTCAATCATGTTGCACATGCAAAACACAACAAAGGCATTGCAATTTTAATGACTTTTTCCCTTGACTGATATCGATCACAGAACAAAATTGAAGCATGCACGTTGTCACTTCATCTATCACAGTCTCTTCTCTTCCTCGGTTATTTGTTTCCAGAAAACTAAGATGTATCTTGCACATGAGATTTTTAAATCTCAGTCAAACTACATTGCTTAAACTGTATTTCTCTCTTATTTTCATTTTCAAATTGACAACAATTTTGTCAATGGAATTTTATGGTGAAAGGAAATAACATCAGTTGTTGACAGTACATAAATAGTTGTCTTGTGTATCTTAATGTAGAATCCATACCTTTTTCAGCAGACACTCATGTTCAGATTCATCGATATGATATTTCTCTATCATCAAATCAGTTGATTTTTCTTGTGCTTCCATGACCACTGAAAACCAGGCTGTGCCAATAGCTCCCGTTGGTGGTGTGTGCTTACAGGCACCTGGTTTTGTAATCTTTAGTGGTTCACTGTTAGAAAATTCAGTGTTAGCACAATTATTTCTTCTTTTTTCTAGAACAATACTCATTCAACTGTGAAAAATGACATGGGAATGCAATCTGAAACAACCAACATACCCCGATCCATCATAAGCAGCCCAAAAATCTTCCAGACAGAGAATTAACAGGTTTTGGCTGAAATTTTGCAAACTTTTCTTAAAAAGCCAATTCACTATTACAGAAGAAACAACAATTGAAAAAAAAAAAAAAGCTCAAAAAATTATGTTAGAAAGATTATTGGCTACCTGCGGAGCAAGAATGCTAACAATTCAGAATCTAAGGGCTGCTGAGCTGAGCGGCTGAAGTGTGCAAAACCAGAAAAGACATCATAGCAAACAGTAAAAACTTTTGATAATATAATTTCTTTCTCTGCTTGAACTGTATTCTGCCTGGACCTTTTTTCTTCATTGCAAGAAATTGCATCATAAAAACCAAGCCATCCAATTTCATCGGTTACTACCTGTAAATGTAATTTTAGCATTAGGGTAATTTTGGATTTGAGGTTCTGAAAATTGTTAGATTTGAGGTTCAATGTGATGATCTAAGCCAGGAATAGAGGGCAAGAATAAAATACAAGACTTCTTGCCAAAAACTATGGCAAATCAATCTGAAGAAAGGTCCTTCGCAGCCATTCCAAATTCACATACGATGGCTTGTTTTAGGCATTTCCCACAGAGAGGCATAATAAACCTAACCTCCATGAAGAATTGGTAAACTGATATGGAAGAGAACTCTGGGTAAATGAAGAGGCTGCCACACTCCAAGTAGCTGCAGCCAAAGCAGTACACCTCTTGTAGTATCTTTCAATGATGAATGACAATAATCAGGAGTCAACAAAATCACATATATTTCACCTCAGGAAGTCCTTCAGCAGCTCATCAAGATCATTTATGCGCAACTGTGACAAAAATAATCTAGTCTTCCTTCCTAGATATGCAAAAAGTCCCAAAGTTGCCAACCTATCTGCTTGAACCTGTAGAAATTTTAAAACCAGCTGCTCAACAACTAAAACACAGGGATGTATGAAAGACAAAGGCAAGGACAACTAAACATCAATTGAAGTCCTTAAAATATTCTCAAGCCAATGTACATTAAAAGAAAGTCTGCAAGTCTAATATTCATACATGAAGCTATAAATAGTTAGGGGGAAAGCAAAAAGAACAAGAAAAAATACTTATTGAAAAAGAGACAATTTCAGCAAGGGCAAAATAAAAAGGAAAGGAAAATTTGCTGTTAAATGAGTTTGAAGTGAGATGACAATATTTTCTCAAAGGACATCCTCACTGAAAATACTAAATGACTCAGGAATAAGGAAACAAACCTTGCTATTAAATGCCAGTTTGCCTGGAATCATGGTTTCTTTGCAGAAAGCTACTGAGAGTTTTCTCTGAGCCAACCCTATCCAAAATTCTAGTTCATCACTCTTCTTGCTCGACAGAAAATTTGCACCAAAGTGTGACAGGAAATGAATTTCAAATCCTGCCAAAGTAGCTAACTGATGTAATTTGTCAACCGACACATTACTATGTGAAAGATTCATAAGCTCCACTAGAACATCGCTTATTGACATTTTAGATAAGGGGCAAGAGGTAAGTTCAGAACCCAATTTCTCTACTGCAGCACAGCAGCTTATAGCCATAATAATTCCTGCAACACCACTGAATATTTTTGTGTTTAAGTTAAACCTAAGGTACTGAATAATCAGTGAATTTCTTCACAGGGGAAATTCCTAGCAGGAGGGAAGAAATAAACATATGGATCAAATCCATGTTTGCTGTAGGTAGTTATTAAGTAGGGAGGTAGGGAGGGTGTTAATAATCCTAGAGGGAGAAAAAACTTGAAGTCAAACGTAGAGGAGTATTTTGAGCAGACCTTCCTGCATACTCCATAGACCACTTTTTTAACAATGGAATGAAAAATCCTGCTATCCGTGGAAGTTCCACCACTCTGAACCATTGTACCAAATCTGAATGTCTCAATTTCAACTGACTTTCAATGAACTCCTCTAACAAATCTGTCTCTTGAGTCAAGCTGAAGCACATAGCAAAACAACATGTTAGAGCTGCTGAGCACCAATTATTATCAGGCATAATTTAGAAGGAGAAACGTCAGTAGACTTGGCCAGAGTAGAGAAGCATTTAGTTTCTTGGGAAGTTTTCTGCAGGTATTAGCACAAAAACTATCTGAGTTTGATCTAACAGTATGAAATCCTTGAAAACAAAAAGAGTTGGTTTTGAAGTTTTAGATCTCTTAATATCAGTAACAATAATAACAGAGATTTGGTGAACTGCTACAAAAACTTACATCTTTCTAACTGGGGATGGATTGTTATGACGTTCTTGAGAGAGCAAAATCTCCACTTCGATTGCTGTTTTCAACATAGCATAAACAGCTACCTGAAGAATCATATTAGTCACTGACTTCTGCAATATCTCATTTCATTAATAATTCATAAAAGAATGTCCATCTCCTTCCAAAAAAAAACTATGTGATGGTTGCCAAGGAGCTAACAACAAAGAAAAATACATAAATTCTTGCATCATACTATTAACCTGTCTACAAGTAGTTGCCATCAACATGAATCTCAATACTTCAAATGTGCCATTCGTAGACTAATTTTAAAAAATTTTACCACCTTGTTATTTGTTTTTATTTATTTGGGTCTTCGAGCATATACCCGATGAGCAATACGTTTATGCCATTGATGCACATCCTTTCCATTCCAAGCCATTGCTAGCTCTGCACTACTTCCAGCCAATTCAAGTGACTCAACTACAAGGGAAAAGCTTCTGGCAGATTCATGTAATACCCATACAAGACAATTCACCCGATTGAATTCAATTGCAGGACTATCAGCCTCAGGTACAAGAGCCCCGTTCCCAGTATCAGTTGGATCACAAAGAGGTGAAGAAGACATTGATGATAATACACTTTGAAATATACCTTTTGAAGAAGTGTAACCAGCAAACCATAATCCAAGTGTATTGCTCTTCTTTGCCGAGAAATGATTCCCTTGCTGCCTCCCATGGAACTTTGAACAGTGGGTTGCATTTGAATTTGTCTTCCAATCCCATCCATTATATGACTGGAAAGCTTGTCTGTAACAGATAAATACGTTCAACTTCTTAACCAACAAATCCATCAATATTACATTGCTTTGCATCTTTTATTCATCTTCTTTTTTAGAGTTTTTGTTGAATCAAATGGATATTTACAGTACATTTTTGGGTTCTAACTAAGCCAATATATTTAAAAAAAAAAAAGAAAGTCAACCAACTTCGTATAACCAATAAAAACCAAATAAATGCATGCTTTTGAATCAGTTAAAACTAAAAGAAACATAATTTAAGATTATTATTTGATCAAAGCAAGGCAACAACTATTTTTGGATTCTATCCATTGTGAAGCTAACGGTTTCAAACTAGGTAAAACATTGAACACGTAGGTAACGTATGAGATAAAAAAATAAAAAAAAAAACTTACGTGTAGTAGGAGAAGTGGGGCAGATGAAGAGACAGATGTGAAGCCATGGAAGATGAAGAAGAAAGAAGAAACAAAGAAAAGAAAGAGAGACAAGTGCAAAAAAGAAAGAGGAGGTTGGTTTAGTCGAGGTAAAGAGAGAGACAAGAGAGTTAGAAAATAATAGTTTGGTAGCTGTAAATTTTATGGAAAGGTGGAGGTTGGTGTCTGTCTTAGGCTTTATCTCCCATTTTGTTTGCTTTTGAAGTTTTCTTCGAAGTTGTTTGTGTGTTAGAAAACTATAGATTAACTTGCAAAACAAAGGTTCTTGATTGTTTACAAATTAAAAAAAGAAAATTCTTGTTTGTAAACAATCTTAATTATTACAACCTTAATTATTTATTCATATGTCTTAGTTTATACTATGTACTTAGTAAATATTTAGAGTAAAATGCGCCAAATGTTGCATTTTACCAATTAAATGATCCTTCTTGTTTAATATTTCATTCATCAATTACTATTAAAAATTTAACTAAATATACTGTGTAAACGTCATGTTCCTGTGACCAAATTATAACTCAAAAAGTCAACGAGGGACTTTGCACCTTACAGGCACAAAGCATAATCTGAAGTATCAAGAAATAGGAAAGGATCAACTAAAATAAATTATTAGGATGTCGTATCTTTTATATTATACTCATTTTTATATTTGTATTTAAGGAATATTTTAAATTTATTTATATTTTTATTTTTATTAGTATTTAATGGATATGAATAATTTTTATAATTATGACTTTTAAAAAGAATAAAAAATTATAAAATTTATTTTTTTATTTTTTTATTTTGTATATTTAAGTAATTTTTATATATATGTATTTTTAAATATAAAATATTAGTCCTAATAAATCTAAAATTAATTTTATATTATTAAATAAAATTTTAATTTATTATATATGGTATAGGTACAAGACGAATGTCATATTATTAATTTTCGTACCATACCTGATAAAAAATTTAAAATCATACTTATCCTATCTCTTTTTTTAAAATTTAATATTTATTTTCATCATCGTTAAGATAAAAAAATTAGACTGCCCATCTAATTTGAATAAAATTGATATCTCTATAAATTATTTTTTTTCATACTTAAAAACATTTTCATAATTTTATTGATGAAATTAAAGGTGTAATACATATGAGATATTATTCATTAAATGTTACCTAAGAAAAAAATTATTGGATACTTTGTGAGAACAGATAAAATCACAAAAGTGCACCTAGATTTTAATCTAATTTTAACTATGTGTAGCAATTATCTTTATTGACTGTGTTTATCAAATATAAATTGGAGTACATAAAGTTAAAGATTTGAGGTCAATATAACTATAAGGTTAAGTCTCATTTGATTTAATCAAACCTCATTATCTATCATTTCTCAGTCATAGGGTTCATTTAAATAGGCAGTAAAATTAGTTTCGGTAAAGTTAAAAATAATAATAAAAATAAAATTAATTATTATTACAATAAGATTAAAATCAATGTTGAAATATATGTTCGAATACAAATATAACGATAGCGATAAAATAAAAAGTAGTGAAAAAAAATAAGGGTATTAGATTAAAACTTATATAATAAAATTTTTAGTATATTTTTTGAATTTATGAGTTAATTTTTATAACAAATAATAAATTGATTAAAAATTAATAATAATATTTTACAATTAAAACTGATTATTTGTTTATGATTTTTAGCTATTAATTTATTAGTTAATTTATTAAATAATTATAATGATGTTATTTGAAAATATTTAACTAAAATAATAAATAAATAATAAAAAGGACAAAAACAAAGGTTACAAGTAGAAGTGTAAATAATGCATTAGTACTCATAAGTTATTCATGTTTGATTCAAATAAAATTCGAATTCAACTTGATTATTATCGAGTTGAACTCGAGCTCTAATAGCTCGACTTATCGATCGAGTCGAGTTCGAGTATTTTTATATTCGGATCGAATAGCTCGCGAATCTAATCGAGTTTTTATATTTAAATATATTTTAATTATTTTAATTAATAAAATATCTCAAACTTGAGTTTGAGTTCGAGCACAAATAATCAAACTTTTATCAAATATAAGAATCTAACTTATTTTTATATATTAATCGAGCGAGTTCGATTAACTTGATTTTTATCTCGAATTGAACTCAAACTAAAAAAATAAAACTCGATTTAGTTCGAACCAAATATCGAGCTTCGAATTTTGAATCAAGTTCGAATTCAAATTTAACATTATATTAGCTCAAACTCATTCAATTACACCTCTAATTACAAGTAACATGAATATTTTCATCTCTGCATTATAATCGTAAAAAGGTTAAAAGAAAAAGGTCAAAACTGTGTTATAAATTCTTATACTCATTGATATTAAGAAATTTAATTTCTTTAGTATTATTTAAAAATATTTAATTTGTATAGTATTATTTTTTAAAAATTTTAATTTAATCATTAATAATATTAAATTTTATCTATTAAATAATTAAATAATTATTGATGAGACATTTTTTTATTTACATTATTAATGTTAACGAGTATTATAAATTCTGGTCACGTGGACTATCAAAAATCCATGTCAAATATCTCAATCGTCTCTTTGGCAATTTTCTTCTCTCTCTCTCCTCCCTCTTTGTTTGGTTCCAATGTCCTCTTTGCCAAGGAAGGACATCGAGGAAAAATGAAAATGAAAGGAATCGAATGAGATGCCTCGGTGGGATGAGGTGGGTGTTACAGCTTGAAACCGACACGAATAAGCAACGAGGACTTAATAATTTGCGTGGATGTGGACGCAGAGTCGCTTGTTGAAATTAAAACAATTAGAATCACCAGATTAGATTCCATAAAGCAAGCCATCCTTCTCTTCGTCAACTCCAAAATCTCTATCAACCCCGATCACCTCTTCACTTTCGCCGCTCTCCTCAAATCCGTCTTTTAGGTACTTTTCTTTTTTCCTTTCTTTTTATATTTATATTAATATTTTTTTAAAAAAAATTGATTTGAGATGTGGGAAATAGAAAAATATAATATAGGATTTTATTGCTTTGAATAAAGGGTTTGAAATTCAGTTATTTAGATACTTCATTTCATTTTCATTTGTTGTGGCTTTTTTTCTTTTTATAGCTGAGCAAAAAGTTCAGCAGTTACGTTAAGTCTACCATTGGTGCGGTTCGGGGACTCTCGGCTACCACTGTATCTTCCAGTCAAGTAGATCTCACCGGTGTATTCCGCTTAGTATCCCATGAAGCCAAGAAATCTCGTGCCCAGAATCGAATTTTAAGATTGGTCAATATCCATTTCCGAGAATAATTTGGGTTTCACGATTTCTGAGAGAAACAAAGGATTTGAGATTTGAAGGTTCTGGGTTCTTTCGGTTTTATGGTGTCACGGTTTTTTGTTTCTTTTTTTTTATATATTATTTTTAGAGTTTTTTTTTAATCTGTTGGTTAAGTAATATTTGGGATGACCTGTTGATGCTGACGTAGATTTTTGGTAGTCCACGTGACCAAAATTTGTAATATATGTGAGCATTAATAATGTTAAGAATCAAAGAAAATACCACGTCGATAGCCATATTAACCATTTAACGGATAAAATTTAATATTATTAAAATTTTTTAAAAATAATATTATGAGAATTAAAGTTTTTTTAAATAATACTAAAAAAATTAGATTCTTAAAAATCAATGAATACTGGAACTAATGGCACATTTTGAAAAAAAAAAAAAAAAAGGATAAAAGTGAAAAGATTGCTGGGAATGGAATGTTTTCATTGGAACCTTGAGGTTTAGTCAGTTTTTAAGCCTCTAGTGTAGTTAAAAAGCATGAAACACACTGGTCTTTGTTTTCCGAACACCTTATCAGCCCAGTGGCATACTTCAACTGGATCTAACTAGTCTTTAATTGAAATAAAATGAAGCCTTAATGTACTAAATTTTGTCGAATCATTTTTTACAGTCAATCCTGATTCCTTTTTTAATATGAGTCAAAATTATTAATTTCAACTCATTATATGGCCCAACAAAAAGTCCATTTGTAACCCAAAAATCTCAATTGATAACCCATTTTCAAAGCCCCGATGGATGATCTGTTGTAAAGGTCCGTTTAGAGGTCTAAATAAGACCCATTGTATAGCTTATTGTAGGCCACTTTTAAGTGAAGAGAGCCCAAATTGGTCATTGAGAGGGCTCAAAATATGACCCTTTAAGAAAGTATAACAAAACAAATGAAGTCTAAGACTATAGAACTTTTTTTTTTAAACTGGCAGGAAAGGGTGATTGGGAACATAGATGGCTGGGCATTGGGGAGAGGCATTTCCTTATTCATGTGAGACCTGAAACTCATATGTACGGAGGACACAACCAATTAAAAATGAGTTGATTTGTCGCAAAGGAAAGGAAGACAACAACTACAACAAAAAAAAAAAGAAGAAGAAAGAGACAAGGTTAGTGGGCTGGTAAAGAGCAGAAGAGGGTGGTGTAGAAAAAAGAATAGGACAAACAGGGAAACTTGGTGAAGAAGGTGGTTTTTCAATATAAAGGAACAATCTGGGATTTTTCAAATAGAGAAAAAAATGGAGAAAAAAGTGGAGAAGAATATACAAAAAAGGAAAATAAAAGATAGTTGGAAGGAATAATAGAGAAAAAAAAGGAAAAGATGAGGAAAGCTTGGAGAAAAAGAAGAAAGGTAGTCCTTCTAATCCCTACCTTGTCTGTTTCATGCATATTCTGCATAAAACAACCCTAGTGCTCCATATAATTTCCAGCCTATCATTTCTTAGTTATTGGTGTTGGGATTTACCTTGAATTTCATAATCCTACATCGAAAGTTAGTGAGTTTTGAATTTGTCTTGTATCCCACATCGGGAGTTTAGTAAAGGTATAAAGAGTTTCACCCTTATAAATATGATGTTTTGGTTTTGGTTTGGTAATCTCAGAGGGTTAGACACCAAGAGAATAGTTAAGTGAGTAGGCTATTAAAATGTGTAATTGGGTTTTGGGTTAAGTTTTGAGTAAGGAGTTTTAGGAGCTTTTTC